AGATTCGCGTGATCGAAATCCACGTGTTACCCTCCGAAATCGGCGGGTTACCTTTGGATGAAAAATCCGTGGATTTGACGTGAGCCGCAATTGAGAATAATGATGTTTCGCCACACAATCTGTGAGTTACCTCCGGTTCGGGGATAACCTGAGGTTAACTTGCGATTGGGAATACCACCGTATGTGTTATGTCAATACTTCTGGGTGGTCATTGGGTAAGTGGCATTTTACAGTCCAATCAATCGGTGAGGAAGATGTTCATAGAGGTAATCTCGCACGTTGGCCGACAAGTGTGGTGGTGTGCCATACAGTTAGAGAATGAAGTTGTCAATGTTCTCCTGCAAATGTGGCATCGACCAAAGAGATAACATATCCAAAAAAAAAAAAAAAATAAAAACGGCTTCCGAGCCATTTTACTAAATTTAAGAACATAAAAAGCATTTTCCACTGCAGACGCAGCCATTTCGACTTACTAGTCACATGATACGTATGTGCTGTTGCCTACGTCACTTCCGTCAGGGGCGAGGCACTAACTTTAAGTGTACATCGACTTTGCGATTCACTGACGATTTGCTTGTCTTTGACTGTTGTTGTCTTACAGATTTTGGAAAGTGTAAACTTCTTTACGAATCATCCATATACATTTCAGAACATATGGGGGATAAATAAAAGAAAATGAAACACCGTATTAAAATACTTGACTTTAAATGCTTTCCCATAGGATGGAAAAGAAAAATATAACTTAAATATTGCTCTAAGAAGACTATTCTGAGAGATAGTAATCTTAGTCAATATCATCTCACAGCTTAATCCATTGTCTGAAATGGATGAAACGCAATAAAATGTCTCGAGTGTCAACATAACTCCCTTCTTTTAGAATAAATGTTTTGTTTTGGAGCGGAAATTACAATTTCATAGGATGATAGAATTCCGAATATTCTTTTTTCAAACTGTGGATTACTTCCGCACTCAAACAAGGAATAAAACACAAACCAGAACTCATTTTGCAAACGACTCGGGTGCCCGGTATTCTTGTCATATCACTACTTCGCAAAATTGTAATTTCTCTTGAAAATCTCATATTAGTTTTTAGATAAATATGTAAAATAAAAAACGCTGTTTTTGAGGAAGATTTTATCTTGTATACCTCTTATTTTTTTCAAAATTAAAAAATGTTTTGAAAAATTAATATTTCGAAAATATTCTACAGAATGTAGAAGTCTACATTTTTTCCTATAAGTAATAGTTATAACACTTATTTTAGAAGAGATAGTAGACATTTTTGAATAAGAAAGATGCCGAAAGTGCCTATTTTTTCACTCAGCAATTTTTTCTGATATTAGATTTTAACTCAAAAGTAAACTTATAACAAATATAACCTTTTTTCTATAAAAAATCCCCTTATGTTTAAAGATATTATGTAACTCTAATTCGCAATTCACATTTGTAAACAACTATAATACATAATAGAAACTTTATAATATACAAAACCTCTTTTTATTTGTTATAAAGAAGCAAGATTACAATCTGAAAATTTTGATTAAAATTGTTATAATATTATATCTGCCTTGTTGAAATTAAAAAAAAAAAAAAAAATTAAGACTTCTCAGAAAAATATCTTCAGGAGATTATATACAATAGTATGTAATTAAGAAAAGTATACCAATATGAACATTTGTTGATAATTAAAGCATAAATATTTATTTGTTAACAGTTGTTTGAGGTTTTCATAAAAATGTATATAGTTATATTATTTTTTCAAAACACAAAGCTAGATATTTATATTAATAGTCTACTTATTTATGTATTACAAACTAAATCATGGATGAATATTTGTTATTGCAGAAAGAGCTATTTCCACATTTTAAGGAAATGATCGATTTTTTAAAAAAAATTTTTTACACCTTTTGATGAATAAAATGTATCCACAAAAATACGTAACACAACATTTTAGAGGCTTTTTCACGGTCATATTGAAGATTTTTGGAAATTTTGAGCCTGTTTCGAGCTAAAATTCTTGTAACGATTCCTCAAATATTAAAACATATATCGTTAAAAGTACAATGCAAAGTTAGCAAAATCGCATGCGATCTATGATGTGGAGTAAATAAACAATATTCTAAAATTGCTAGATTTGTAAACTTACATTAAAAAGAATAAGTGAGGCTTCTTAGCAGCCATTAAATGAAATGTTAAAATATACAGTGAAAATCGTTTAACTCGAAACTGAGGGAACTGAAGTATTTTTTTTTTGTTAAAAGAATTTCGTGTTAAGAAATGTTTAAAAAAAAACATTTATTCAACAAAATTAAGTTTATTAGAGTACATTTTATTTACATAGATTATATATTCATGTATTTAATAAAAATTAGTGAAACAAAAATATTCACAATGAAATTTAATACAAAATTTTCAAAGTTTTGAAAAACAAAACACTTATTGAGTTTTTGGAAAAGAGGATCTGATACTTTTATTTGCATTGTCTGCTTTTTTAGCATCTAATTATTCGATGTCGTCCATTTTGTTATTCATTTCACCATAGGAAAGGGCCTCTAAATAACTGTGCATACTTTTTATGATATTCCTTATTTCGGATAATGAGGGATCAGGAACTAGTTGCATTATTCATTTCATTTTTGTATTACGAAACATGCGTCAATGATAATTTTTTAGCTTTGAAAAAACTCCAAAATGTCTTTGCCATAATTAGGTCTGTACACACATTATCATCATCTACTGCAATGCATTTTTCCGAAGATGAACTTGCGTGGCTGGTGTTTTCCGTATTTTTTTTATTCACAGAAAGGAAATCTTCTCGTGTTAAGCGATTTTCGTTTCGCGTTAAGAGAAAAACAATGCATGAAAATACAAAACAGTTTATCCGTACTATTGTATTATTTCGTATTAATCGATATTTCGTCTTAAACGTTTTCGTATTAAACGAATTTCGCTGCGTACTTTGCTTCAAAAATACTTTTAAAAAATGTAAAAAGGAAACCGTTAGTTTTGGTTTCAAAATGATAACTCCGGTCGGCACTTAGCAACCTTCAGCGGCAGCAGCTTTTATCAAAGGAATTATAACTTTTGTCCTAATGAATGTACGAGTATAAAAAAAAAACGGTATTTTATATGTATAATAAAATCAAAATTTCAAAAAGAAAAAAAAAATAAATAAATAAACAGACAAAATAACAAAATAAAACCACATTTTTTGGCATTTTTTTTATTAAATCTACGATTTTAAAGTGGACGGATACCTTATCGATAAATAATGTTAAATTTCCAACGAATCTGTGTTTAAAAAAGATAATTTATTACACACTATTTCCTAAAAGTTACGTCAACTACATTTGCATTCACTACATTAAAACGAAATTAGTAAATTTTTTTTCGCTGTAAAATGCATCAATAAAACTTAAACAATGGTTTCTAGCTCAAGTTTTTAAAATAATTTTCAGATGAAATCCATTTCGATGATTTTTCAAATTCGAGAAAGGAGAATGTCATGGAGTATTATAATTCATTTGATGAATTTATCAATCTTGACATCTCATAACAGGAGTTTTTTTAAAGAAGAAATAACAGTTTTTGTATAAATGTGTTTTTTTTATTGGAGTGTTTGAATTTTTCATAGTTCACTATTATTTATTTGTACTTATTGAAAGACATATAATAATTTATGATGTTTTAAATCCTATTCTACTTGATATTCATTATTAAAAACTGTTGATAGGATAAAAAAATATTAAACAGAGAGATATTTATACTTGGTACATATTTACAATTTTTTTTAAAGTGGAATATTTTTTTTATAAGCATGATTAATAATGTAAGCCAAACGATTTTTTTTATACTGTTGGAACTTTTTTTTATCCTAGAAAGAAGTTTTTTTTACGAAATTATGCATGCACTTTTTTACTCATCAAAACTTTCTTTGTCGTATTTTCAAGCATAAATTAATGTCAAAAGAATGCAGAAAAAAAACATTCCTCAGTTTTTTAATGTCTTAGCCGATACCATTTTTAGCTTAAACATAAAACTTTATACATCACATTAAATCTAGTTCTGCTCCACTCACTTTCTACCTGACGACAATTTTTCCAAACTTTTTGTCTTTTATTAAAACTCTAATTTTCTTTTTAAAAAAAACTATTCAAAAATATAAATGATTTGTCAATATTCATCCTTCCATGTGATTCTAATGCTTTTCAATGAAAAGAAATGGTTTTATCACTCTAGGAGTTTTATTACAAATTCACATGTACTCAAAGATAAATGAATTTTTTTTGCTTACCTCAAAATATTAGAGAAGAAAAAATTTTACAGAAAAGTCAACAGGGATAAAGGGTCTATAAATTTGGGGGGACTCTGTGTCATAAAACTTACATAAACTATAAATATGTTGAGTTGTATGGACAAGTGATTTTTAGGAACAACATGTTGTTAAAATTTTCATTACTGCTGGTTTTATGACTTGTTCGGCCGGGTGGATAGCAGAGATTAAGCGAAATAATATAGAAGTAGTGGTTGAGTGATCAGATGTTTGCAATATAAGAGTTTATAGTAGTATAATATATATATATATATATACATATATATTTCTTTATTATCAGACATTATTAAATAAGTTCTTGTAAAATAAAGGTGTAACTCTAAGCACAACATTAATGTGCTGGGTATAAATTTTGTGTGTGGTACAAATATAAGTTTCAGATAAAAAAATCTGCGAAGTTCGTTCTCTTTTTAATTAATTCTACTATAAGTTCACTCTTTCCCTATATATTTATATCTTGTTCAAACTTTTAATCTTTGATAAGATTCTTTCTATTCATCAATTCAAGTTGAAATACATTTTTTTAAAAACTTGTAGTGGATGACACTTGATGTTAATACAGTTTTTTTAAATATTTATTCATTAATTAAATACAAAAAATGAATAAATAGTAACAGACAAAAATAAAAGTTTAACAGCATAAATAGAAAGAACAGTCTTTCGTTGTGTCTCTGTAGCACAATGGATAGTGCGTTGGACTTCTTATCCAATGGTCTTGGGTTCAAATTCCGTCTGGGAATGTTTAATTTTTGAGAATTTTTTTTCCTATACTATTTTATTTGAATAATTAAGCTTAATTGAAGCTCGGTGTGTTACTGCATCGCGCTTCCACATCACGTGTCCGAGGTTTAAACCACTGACCGGGCAAGGCTGACTCCCTTTGTCTCTTCAGTGGGTTGATAAAGGAGTACTAAGCTTGCTTGGGAACTTAACACTGGAAGTTTTACGTCAGACGGACCACCTGACCGGAACATCTGCGCATGCACCTAAGGGCTCAAGATTGCGTATACCTATTTGGGCTCAGTAGGCCTTGGCCCTCATGGGCTGTCGCGCCACTGAGTTAAGTTAATTAAATTTAATTAATGAATAAATAGTAACAAACAAACAAAGAATCCAACACCATATATAGAAAGGAAAATTTCAAGGAGATTTGCTTTCTATTTTGTCACTTAATATTGTGATTCTGTCATATGTATATACATGTTTATATTAATTGTAACTATTTAATAAAAAGTAACTAAAATAAAATATTTCTTTGCTGACCTAAAAAAGGAATTGACCTAAAACTTTTTCCAGATTTAACAAGATAATGGAGGCAATCACGTAGAAAAATAAATCAGTTTCAGAAAGTAATTTGTAATGAACATTTAATAAATCGAATAATTTCAAAGGAATACGATCTTGAATACCTTTATTTTCAGAAAACATCTCGTACTTTTACGAAAATATTGCTAAGCTTAAGAAATTACTTGAATAGGAAAATTTCAAATTCTTTCTTATTTTGGCTCTATCAATCCTTTAAAATTCTCAAAGGGAAGAATATCTTATTTGCCAGGGATTATATTTGTCGAGTATGCATATATGAATTTACATTAATTATCCATCATGATGAATAAGAATGTTTTTATTTTGAATGTATATATATAACATGGTAAAGTTTAATCTTGTTAGTTAAAAATACCTCTGAACTCTTAAAACTAACTGAGTTCAATGAGTGAGTGAGTGAATATTAACGTCTCACGGTTCAACTACACGAGAGCTTTTGTGAGGAACTACGTAATTTTGAACCGTGGTCAAGTGACGTGGACGATACCTGAGCTGGCACCCCCTCTCCTAACTACCACACCACACCAACGGGATGACGTTTCAGCTCTCGACGGATTTAAGGTGCATCGCTGCCCTACATGGCGGGTCTTTAGTGGTACTGTGCTGAACTCATGACATGCCTGCCATGATCCGATACCTTGACCACTGCGCTTCCGCAGCTCTCTAACTGAGTTCAGATTACACTCGTAAATTCGTATACTTACATTAGAGTCTTTGATTGTATTTTTATTTTTTACTCTGAAGTTAGAATTATTTACATGAATATAGTAGTAAATGCTTAATTTGCTTTTATGAATATTTGTTTTAGGTTTTTTTTATGCTTATTTATACCAATTAAGAGTGTTAAATATGAGCATTGCAGCCAGATGACCAACACAGATCGCTTTGGGTATGATACAGGGAAAATCAAACATAAAACTTAATTTCTTTAAAATCAACTTAATATGTAAATCTTTTTTTCCCCTCCATGAACATATTCATAGTTCTAGATGGTATCTGTTGAGACATGTTTTTAAGGCTCAGAGATATTGAGGACTTTGAAAACAATATGTGCAGAAAAGTAATTTTACAAGTCGATGCTCTTTTATAAGGGATAAGTAACTCAGCATCAACTCTCGTTACTTGACATTTTTAAAAGTTTATCATTCGTAAAAGTTTTATTGGAAAATAAATCTTCTAAAATCCTCGAGGCTCACAAACTCCAACCACTGAGATGTATCGATTTCCTTTACTGTCTAAAATTTCCTCAGGCTGGAGCATAACTTTCCTGACTCTATTACTGCCTATTTACTAGTGATCTAATAGAGAAAGAGAGAGACTTATATTTTCGGTTTATTCTATAGCGTCGTAAAAGTTATTCCTTTTATACGCCACTCTTACTTAAACTTCTCGTGATCTGTTACTGATTGTTAATTTAACAGTCAGTAAATGATTATAATTAAGGCGTTTTGTACGGAAATAGTATAATAAAGCTCTTTAAGGTATCCGACTACTTGCGACAACTTTTTTTTGAAAAAATGGAGATATGGGGATTTTTTTGTGATTTTTATATTTATTTAGTATATTTTAAGGAAAAAATTCTAAAATTGATAAAAGAAAAAAATCTATTATTATTAAAATGGGAAAAAAAACCATTAAAAATGTACAAAAAATTACATAAACGGGGCCCGCTCTGTACAAAGATTTTATGCACAAATTCTCAATTTTTTAATTTTGATGTGTTACTTTGTTATTCCTGTTTGAAGTGACCTTCAGGATAAGAGATATTTTAATTTTTACAAAAACTAGAGCACTTTATCTTAGTGATCGTGCGAAATTGCTTCAAAAAACATCGACTATATTCACATGAAGGACTGAAAATTTTGAAATAAAACAGTGATTGGGAAATCTGAAGATCAAAATACTTCTACTGTTATGCAGAACATAAGCAAAAAATTTCAGCCAATTATTTTCAAAATTTTTTGAGCAATCGCTGTCCCCGTTTGAGTTTTTCGAAAAAAAAAACACATTTCGAGTAAAACGCCTTTTAAAGTTTGACATTTTGTGTAAAGTTATGGTATCTGCTTTTACTAAAACGATTGTGGTTTTTGTTCTAGTGGAGGGAAAATAAAAAACTTGGTATTGTTATTAAGCTAAAATGATGGACTATAAAATATAGTCATAAAATTTTTTTGTGAATTTTTGAAAAAAATCATGATTTTAGGGTAGTCGGATACCTTAAGAATACACAGAATCCAGGGAATACAGATAAAACGTTAGTAAAAAGACTATCAAGTTTATTCCAAGTCAAATATTCAAAAAAACTTTTTATAAGAGAACAGATGAGGTGAACTGATACCAAAATGAATGTTTAATGAATTAGAAGACGTAACTATAATTTCTGTGTATATGCCGAGAGATTCTGGAACTTTTTTAAAGTTAAAGTAAGGGGGTTGGATTATATATACGAATCTGGTAATCTCTGGGAAAAAACTTAGCTTAGGGAAAACGATTTTTTACATTTAATAACTATAAGCCATTTTAATAATTTTGCTCTCTGGATGTTGTAAATGGAACCTTTATTAAAAAAAAAAATAGCTACATAAATCCTTCAAAGGCAGTGTCAGAATTGAGTTACCGATCAGTTCGTACACTTCGCAATCCCTTATTGGGATGTTTGAACTTATGGTTGGAAATTAGGCGTACTCAATGATTCTCGTCGGGTCTTCACCCGGAGAAAAAATGGAGCTCACTTTCATCCCTCCTATGTAAAAAAATCGAGATATTTGGTGCTAAGGAATCTTTGTGTGTGGTGGCATATTGTTAGGCAGTCGCATACCACTGTATGTTTTGGATACGTATACTGTCAACTCACAGCGCTACAGGAATCAGATCCTGGAAGCCTATGTGAGGTTTGACCGGATGCTATGGACCCCCACTTCACTTTTTTGAAAAACAATGCGCGGCCACACTAAACTTGCATTGTTGATTGATTTAACGAAGGAGCGGATATTCACCATACGGAGTGACCCTCGAGATCTCCGGAAATCACAATTCTATTGAACATGTTTGGGATGGTCTAGAAAAAGCCATTTCTCAATGTAACTTCCCTCCAGGATTCATCAGGGAGTACAAGTTCTGCTTTAGGAAAAATTGGCTTTGATGCCACAAATACATATTGACACCCTCATAAAATGTATGGCAGTTCGTTGTGAACAGTTCACAGTGGTCACACTCTGTATTAAACACACTTTTCTTGAGTTAAATGCTTTATCTATGGTTCATAATTTCACACTTTTTGATATGACTTCTATCTTATTTCACAATTAAAATCTTTTCTGTATTTTTATGTTGCTATATTCTTTTTGACATGGTAACACTTCGCTGTGCCAAATTTCGTGGAAACACAGAAAATAGTTCTTCAGCTTTCCCAGATTCTATGTTTGTGACCTTAATTTTGGACATGAGTGTAAATTAGGTATCGAGGAGGAAGACGGTACGCTTGATCACTTTAACCACACCTCAAGATAAATGAGCAGCTGCATTGTATCCAAGAAAATTGACTACTTTCGCGATACTACCGAGTCGTTTCTTGATCAGAACCTTTATTTGCAACTATAGGTACTATGATTTGACCTTTTTACAAGGAATTTGTCCCCCAAAACAAGACAACAAATCCTCCCCAAAAGACATCTGTACTTTAGCCCTTTTAAGGAGGGAATCCAAATGCCTCCATTGTTTTTTCTTCCTCTTTCATCTCTGGATCATATTAGTAGATCAAAGATTCATCAGGCGAGCAAAAAAGCATTTTCACTTGTTTTATAATAATAATATGAGTTAACGTAAAGTATTATGGGCAGTTGTTTTCATTTTTGTTTTACTTAAGATTTTATGACACATGACAATATATTCTATAGAAGCTCATGTGTATATTTTGAACTTAACTACACATTTTATTAATTTTTAATCAATTTTAATTAGTATTTTTCTCCACAAATAAAGGTTTTCTGCTTTTATGTAATGCATGATTGAAAGTATATAAAAACTAAATTAAAAATGATCAAATATTTCCATCTTTTATTTCCAAAAACTTTTATAAATATTCAAGAGGAAATTCAAAAATAAAGTTATTGATGGAAGAATTTTTCTAAGAAGAATTTAAATAAGGATTATTTGTTACTATTTTTTTGAACGAAAATGCTTTACTTGAATTATGTAAAATGGTAAAAAGCCATGGGTATAAAATTTAACAGTAAAGATAAAAATGTATTAGACTTTTTGTATATGTGTAAAAGATAGAAAGTTAGAGAATTAAATTTTTTTCTGATATAGATACGTTTTTTATTATGTTGAATCGCAATTGCACAATAAAGAATACATTAATAAAAAAGAATATTTATTTTTGTCTCTTCCCAACTTTTTAATCTTGCAAGTA